TATGTATATATATATATATATATATATATATATATATATATATATATACATACATACATACATCGTATTCCTAATCAATTTTACCTGTAAAACTAACAGTGATTCCAGCAGCCTTCTGGGCAGCTTCTAAGTGATCTCTACTCTTTTGGTAGTGATAATAATAGTGACATATAGGACTGCATTCCAGGTGGAACCTAACACACAGCTCCTTGTTGTTTTCACATGACATTATACTATCATTCTGAAAAACTACAAAATATAAAAAAAAAGATTAAATGATAAGATTAGTAGGTTTTATGTTTTCAATTAAACAAGTGTCCATTATTACTTATCTTTATTAATGGTCCTTTAAGGCAAGACTATTTGAGTGCAAGAGATTTGCGACCCCTGCATTACCTAATACTTTGCATTTTTACATTATTTGATCCAGTCAAGTAATCCAGGTTAGTAATTATTACAACAAAAACCAATGCTTAACTTTACTTACTTGATTCCCGTAAATTCATAATTTGTTCATGAATTTCAGGCGACTTCTCGTCCATTAGCTGCTGTTGTATCCATAGGCACCTCATTGCCCACCAATCAGATGTCTGGAAATTAAAGAAATGTAAATTATGTCAATTGTGCATCCTTGATAGTGTGATCCTTGTGATAAATAAGGTAACACAGAAATAATAAAAAGATTGGGACAGAAGAAAACAGTTGTACAACAAATTGAAGAAAGGTATATCTGCTTCGGTCAATTTGTAAGGAACGAAGAAATAGACAGAGGTCCAACAGATTTTTCCAACAATAAATCCTTCAACAAGTGAAATAGATATTGTCCTTGCAAATATATATTAACCAGATGCAAAAAGATGTTCTCTTTGCATCTGTTGAGTTCCTTAGTAGATAAGTATTTGCAACTGAATATTTATGAGAAATATATTGTCTACCTACAGTACAGTGAATAGCACTTAATGCATGATACAATTATCTTTTACCTGACAACTTTTCAATAGAGGGCGGCATTGCACTAAAATCACTTTTGCTAGCAGAAGGTATTCTGGGTAATCAAGCAGAGGATACACAGGAACGCTGTTGCTACTTAGAGCTTCTTTACAAAATGCTTTTAACTCTTCAGCCTGTATGAAAAGCATGAGAGAAAATATGTGACTGCTTAGAAAAAAAGACTTTTTTTTACTGAAATTTATGATAGTCAGTGATACATAATTGTGTGTTTCAGAATTATAATTAGAAGATGAGATTATTACCCAATAAATCGATAAGGACTTATTTCAACCAAGGGACCATGGAACCTTTTAATCACCTTGAGACAACTCAAGTCATCTGTGTATGTCTTCTAATATCTGATCTAAATGTTCAATCTAAGTCAAATTTCCTTGCACTAATTTTTGTTATTAAAATATTTTGTTTGCCGAAAACAGGTTTTAAGCTCTTAGGTACTTTATTTTACTACGTAACAATTAACGCATTGTGTAAATAAACTTATAAATTTAAAGAGCTTGTTAGTTTCAAATACTCAGTCATTGGCTTGTACCATTCACCTTATTTGACAATCCTTTTGAAAGGAAGTCTGTTGGCTGACATTTTGTTGCAGGTCCGGTCCAGTTATTCTGCACAAACAGGTTGAGTAATGAAATACCAATACACAAAACATCTATCTCCCTAATGGAAGCAAATATAAACACACTACACATTAATCCAAAACTGATGTTGAAGACATTATATAAATCAATTTATATTTACTATTATATATGATTAGCTTTATACTATGGATATCAAATTCTGAAATAAAATAATGAGTGAGTAACCAACTTTTAGGTACAGTAGATATATATTATATTATGATGTAAAATGTACACAAAGGTTAACCCATAAAATCTCAAGATTTGATTCCAGTAGAAACCTTCTTGTGGTGAATTTTGCAGCACTACACAAGGTCAAATCTTGTTCAGAGTGTTCTACTTCTTTAAAGCTAGCTACTCACCGTGCCGTACAACGGTTGCACGACCACCGCACAATAGGGACTTTTCGATTGAGTGAACGATGAGCACGTTCACGTCGACTGCAGGCGACCGTCAACATATTCACTGCTCATGGTGATCCACCGCTGCAATCAGTTTCGATTTCAGTTGACGAGGAGTCAACATGAGGACTTTTGACAAGGATCATGCCTTACCATCATGGCGAATCTTCATAGAGTCCAAGAAGCGATCCTCTTCAGATATTTCAGCAATGTGCTTGACGGTGAAAAGTTTGTGCTTTTGTACAATCCTAATGGAACTGTAAACTTGTTTGATTTTGCATAGAATTCGGCCTCTGCTTAGGCCTAGTAAGATCCTTCTTAGCGGGTCCGGTATCGGCCATCTTGAGAAAATGACGTCATACAGTCAACAGGGCAAGTAGATTGGGGTCGACGGTGAAAACCGGGGTGAACACGTTCTCAAATTTGGTGGTGAGCGAGGGGTTGACGATCGCGCATCCACAGTGCTTGAAAATGACATGTCACGACGTCGACTATGTTGACGTGAAAATCGAAAAGTGCCTAATGAATCCAACTTCGCTTCCTGTTTGCGCTAGATGATGCAAAGGCGTCTGCCGATTTTGGTGGTGGTAGTCTGAATGGATCGTCATTAAAAATTATTCGTTGCACGTGTGCCGTCGCGTTGCGTTCATGATATAATAGCGTCAGCCGACAAGCGTTGGGCGCAGGGAGTACGTACCCGGCATTACATGTGCATGAACCATATCTTATTAACATGCACATGGGACAGTTTTAGTGTCTCATTATATAAAGACGGTGTCTTATCGTAACGTGTATTTCAGCCCCCAACCGAACTCAAACACAGTAAGCATTGGAAGTGAACCAGGGACTCAAGTTCTCAGGTACAGTGGATACCACCAATTATTAGCCAACTGAGAAAGCTATTCTCATAATTAAAGATGTTTAATGTTTGTACTGCAAAACACAATTTCAAATTTCATTAACATTTTACACCTTGAATTTAAGTGAGTGGGTGTAAAGAAAAATAAGATTGTTTTAACTTTACCTATCTATTGATATATCATCCTCATCTTGAAAATATTTCTGTATTCTGTTCTCAATTGCATTGGCTAAGACTTGTATATTGTCAAGTTTATCAACTCCAAGGACTACAGTGCTTATGGATTGTAGAAGGTAGGTTTCATATTCATTATTTAAAACTAAACTCCAGTTACCACAGCCTGTAAAATAGCATTAATGAATCTTACATATCGTAAAAATATGATATGATACGATACTCCTTCGTTGTCATTTCAACATGCCAAAAATAAAATTTGTGTTGATTGATCCTATAGGCTATACAGTAGGCCTACATACAATACTGTACATTCAATTCAGAAATATAGATTATTATATAAAGATATATATTTTCCATTGAAATTTGTTCGTCATGCAGTTGTACCCCATCATGTTACAAATCTGTCCCAGCTGTTGTAATAAAGTACTGTATATGATGGATTAATTATTACTGGACTCATCGTCTACACTTTTTATAGAATATTTCGGTTCCAATCACTTAATTAGTAAACACCTTTTATTTTCATCAAGAATCTCTGGGTCTTGGAATAGAATGCTAAATAGATGACGCATTATAAGTGCTGATTTATTATTACCATATTATTATTTATAATAATTTTTTACAGACACAAATAACTAAGATGCAACAAATTTATTATCACTTCAATATGAAACAGTATAAAAAAAAAAAAAAACAAATACGAAATGTGATTTGTAAATATGTTTATTCAGATCTTGTTTTTCTTTAAAAAGTCTACTCATACATGGTGTACATGCCTAATACATTAAAAAAAAAAACAATTTTGTGAAAAAGAAAAATTCAAAATTTGCTGGCCAATAATAATTAATAAAAAAAATCCTGTCTGAGCTTTTAATAAACAATCAAATGCAATACTGTATATGAATTATGTATTTTTTACACTAAAGTTATTAGCTTCCGAGAATCTTAAGTCTTCCGCAAGTTGCCAGTCTCCCGGGAATCGGGAGAGCCTCCCGTATTCCCCCAGGCATGCACCAATCTCCCGGAATATGATTCATCTTCCGCAAATTCATAATATTTGCAAGTTTTACTACTGCATTTTTACTACTCACTGTGATTTTATGAAGAACGCAACGCGACAATGTGCGCGCAACTCATCGTTTTTAATGACGATCCGTTTAGACGACCAACGACAATCAGCAGACGGCGTTGCATCGTCTAACGCTCAGAAGAAGCGGAGTTGGATGCGTTGTGCGACGGTTGCACAACGCAGTGAGCGCCCAAGTTTATTAACCCCAAGGAAGTGGCACATTATAAATTCCCGTACCAGTACCGGTACAAGTATCAGTTATTTATCAATTGTCTCATGGAAATCAGCGACGAAGGGTATCACCATGCGACACTAAATAAAATTAGATGTTGGGTTGATTTGTTCTTTTTTGATGATCCAATTAATATAAAAAAATATTTAAAAAAACATATTCGCACGACATGTGTTGTTACAACCTGGTCGTAGTATAACCTCTGTCGTGTTGACGTCAAAGTGCTGTAACACCACAGTTCACTTGAGAATGCTGATATAAAGTATGTGTCAGCGAAACATCATGTGAGTACATTTTTCTTAATATTAAAAAAAATATATATATTAATTAGATCATCAAAATAGAAAAAAATCAACCCAATATCTAATACTGGATCCAGATGAATTTTTTCAACAAAAATTAGATGTGTTAGAGACCGGCTCCAGAGGAAAACAAAATGTTGATATGTTTTTTTTAAGACACAAAAAGCTTATTTGATGAAAACTCTGGAACAGTTTATAAGATACAGATTTTTAAAAATGTAAGAACGGAGGTAAAAAAAGGTGAGTAACCACCCATTTCTCCACCTTTTCCAAAAATATTCAAAAATCTGTATCTCATATTAACCATTCCCGAGTTTTTCATCAAAAATTGCTTTTTGTGTCTTAGAAAAGTCAGTTGTACGTCATATCAAAAATGTTTTTCCTCCGGAGCCTGACTTAGCTCATTAAACCAGATTTCCCAGAAGTAAATTTTTCCAAATATTGGACCCCTGAGTTTTTCACATGTAAATATTTTCTTTCATCAATTAACAGATACATAAATAATGCCAGTACAGTATTCTTAGTATAGACCCGTAAATTAGCTGGAAATAAATTTTAAGACATTCTTAGTGAAGTCTGTAAATCAGTGAATGCGGATATATTTTTATCATGTTTCCTTTAGGTCGATAACTTATTTAATTCATTTAAAAGTGCAATTAAAAGAGTTGATTAAATTGTTAAGGGAGTTTTTCCTTACGGTATCACAGGTAATATACATGTTTAATACAATATGGTCAAATGTATTTCATGAATAGCAACTGATTTTGCTATGTGTCCAGATAAGGGACAAATTTCTTTAATAAAACATTAGATACCACTCTGCCATCTGGAGAAAAAAGGTGGGTGATGATTGTGCCAGGTTTGAGTTATCTAGTAAGTTATTAAAGTGCTTTCGATTGCACGACGATGGTAGGACGTAGAACGTAATGACATCACTAAAAGTCATCTGCGTATGCAAAAATGTTAAGGTCACCTCGTCGAGCAGATTCCGGAACGCAATTTGTCCAAATCTACGTATGCAGAGAACATACGACGTCAGGTAGGACGGTCACGCATGAACGATTCCATTCTTGCATCCCGTCGTAGCACAAATCGAAAGCTCTCTATTATTTCAGAGGGCCTCTTCTAGTCAGCTTTGTACTGAAAGAATTACACTTTTTAAATATGGTATAAAAATTAAATAAAATCCTCTGCAGTTTTTTCCTGCATTTGGAGTCTCAGCTTTCAGATGCCAGCCTCAATTATATATTTACTTCTACAGTGCAAGGAAAGTATTATAAAAAAATAAAACATGGTTTGAGGTTAATCAGAGAGAGTAGTTTAAATACGAGGATGATTGTATTTGTATTACGGTACCTCATAAATATTTAACAGCAAACTCTCCACATACAAAATCCATTTCAATGCGTGCGCGTAAAATTACAGTTTGCATACCATTAATGCTGGCACGCAGGGGTGTGGTAGTCAATTTTTAGCAGCACTTTTTTTCCTGTGTACATGTAAATTTAGTATGCACAAGGAAGCAGTCGAAACTACCGCACTGCATACTGAGTGGAACTGACCAATGAAATATTGTTATTACCTAATTAATATTTATGAGGTATAGTAAATACAGTTCCAAGCTTGTATTAAGGTAAAGATAGATCTTAAACTGGAGAACCCATCTCATTTTTTAATTGATAACAATTGTTTCCTGAATTAGTGTAAGATCCTGAAAAGTAGTTGGTGATTAAAAACAGAACAGATTTTTAGTTAAAAATTCATTCAGGAACTAAGATACTACAGAGAAACATGAGTTTCTATCTCAAAATTCTATTAATCAAATAAACCATGTAAGTAAGTAACTGATTTTATTGTAATGAAGATACTGATAACCAATGTCTTTCTTTGGACATGTATATTTAATAGCTTGAGAAGTTTATCTTGATGATGTTGGTTAGAATGTCCTCATATTTCAGAACCACCTTCAATCATATATGCACCAGTATAGACAGTTATCAGTACATCAATAATCAACAACTGATGTTGAATAAGTTTATTAAACAAAAAAAGTGTTAACTGGTTACCTACTACTAACATAAATCATGTGTGTTTCAATTGAAGAATTGTATTTTATATATAAGCATGGGTAGTCTCACCATGTTCACAGAATAGGATTAACTACAGTATTATATACACTGGTGTTCAGGTACAGGGAAATGTTTCTGTTTAATTACGAGAAAAATAAATATATAAGGACTGAACCAATGTCCCTGGTATTTGAAGATGGGCACAATGACCAACATTCCACAATTCCCCTTGTTATAATTATATCATATTATATTCATGACATTTCTAAAGCTATATACTGGAGTTGTGATATTAACTATTTCTTGGATAATAATTTTTATAGTAAATTTCACACAAGTGTTTAACTACAGTACTTTAGTTACCCAAAATATGCATTAATATGTAAACAACTCTAATTTACGTAAGTTTTTAAGGCAGTCCTTTTTTAAAAACCAGCTAATAGCACTAACGGACACAGCATTCCAGTACGAGTCATCACATAATTTTAATTGCAACATGTGACAACAATGAACAATTTTAAATCACAGAATAATCAATTTTTGAAGAACTTTCAAGATAGCTACAACTTGATAAGTTTTGGAAGGCGGAACTTCGGAGGTGTCTTCTTCAAAAGAATTCCTGTATTTTCCTTAATTTGTCCATTAAAAACATTTGCTGCCCTCAACTTAGAACCAAGGCACCAGCAGCATAACTTACAGAGCTGTCATCTTTGGACTTGCATTGATTCGATTGTGCATAGCTCAAGAATTTGAAGGACATTCCATTCTGACCACCTCGTCGTGATTTTATATCCTCCACCGCCTGAAGTAAAAAAAAAAAAAACCTAAATCAATATTTATTGAAACAAAGTAAACTAATTTAAGGTGCAATGAGAACAAAAATACAGTTATTCGGATTGGTAAGGGGGCCCCCCCCCCACTCCCAACCGATCAGAAAGATCAGATCAGTAAGTATAGTGTAGGAATTTTCATTCAGAGCATTCAGGGGTCCCTAGTTGGAAGAAGTCATTTTCAGAAGATCTACATTGGCTGACCCAGGAATTCGAAATAGAGGGTTGGGGGGGGGGGGAGCCAGGAAGAGGAAAAAAGACATTTTATGATTGTGGCACCGCTAGATGGCTGGAAATAACACAATCAGACAAATTTTAGAAAATAATTGTCCCCCATTTTTTTTTTTTCATTTTAAAAACTTTAGGGCTTGTCCCCCTCCCTTTGAATCCCCACTGATCTGCAGTGGTTAATGACTTTTGTTAACACATTACATTTTTATTATGCACACAGTGATACACATCGGCACTGACTTCCACGAGACAATTGTTAATAAAATACTGGAAACATGCAAATATTATGAATTTTAGGAAGATAGGTTATTTTCTAGTTTGGATCTGATGTATGTGAATGAAGCTTTGTCGCTCTCAAGTGTCCACTGTTGCACAGAACGTTCAAACAGTCAGCTAATGATAGTGTGAGCACAGTAAACAGTTCATGGTGTGCCAGAGCTGAGGGATCATCTCCAGATGTGACCAGCCCGCTGCGCCCCAGAGAGCACTACAAGTGGACAGCTGGAGGGCAGTGGTTCCATCTAGGTTTTAGATACTTTTAAAATTCAAACATGTACTGTATTTATTTTTAAAAAAATATATAGGACACTAAAATAAGCACTTGGTAATGCACCATCAACCGAAGCACACATTTATTTCCCCGTTTTTTTTTTTTCATTTTAAAAACTTTAGGGCTTGTCCCCCTCCCTTTGAATCCCCACTGATCTGCAGTGGTTAATGACTTTTGTTAACACATTACATTTTTATTATACACACAGTGATACACATCGGCACTGACTTCCACGAGACAATTGTTAATAAAATACTGGAAACATGCAAATATTATGAATTTTAGGAAGATAGGTTATTTTCTAGTTTGGATCTGATGTATGTGAATGAAGCTTTGTCGCTCTCAAGTGTCCACTGTTGCACAGAACGTTCAAACAGTCAGCTAATGATAGTGTGAGCACAGTAAACAGTTCATGGTGTGCCAGAGCTGAGGGATCATCTCCAGATGTGACCAGCCCGCTGCGCCCCAGAGAGCACTACAAGTGGACAGCTGGAGGGCAGTGGTTCCATCTAGGTTTTAGATACTTTTAAAATTCAAACATGTACTGTATTTATTTTTAAAAAAATATATAGGACACTAAAATAAGCACTTGGTAATGCACCATCAACCGAAGCACACATTTATCCAGATGCTGGACAGCCGGTGACTAGCGCCAGCATAGAATAAAACATCAAGAATTTGAAAATTGTCCCTCTATAGCCACATATGTTTAGCATGTTTGTACTTTTCCTTTTCCTCTAATCCCTTCATTATTACAGTTTGTATGGGGCTGCTAGCAATGAGCAAACCATCAAATCAACTTACATTTAGAAGTACTGCAATTGGGTGGCGGCCACAGATTGTATTTGAATACTTCTTTAAGTAGTCATGGAAACCATGAGCATCGAGTGATGATATTATATCCATACCCTAACAAGAAAATACAAAAATAATAATAAAATATCATATTATTTTGTTTCCTTCTAGATTTAGTTGGAAATTAAATTACCTCTGTGAAAAAAATATTAGATGGGTTAATTTAGCTAAAAGAAAATATGCTTTTCATTGTGTTTGCAATATACAGATGAATGTTGGACATGCCTAAATATGGTCATGATGACATCACATCATGACCATATATAGGCACATCATGACTATATATGGGCATACAACCATTTTTGTCAATGAAAATTTGATAATCTCGACAGAAAAGAGTGAATGTGTGATCAAAGGTGCCGAAGACAGACTGTTCCACTATATTTTAGGGTTGTTTTTCAACTTTTCTCACATAGAATAAGCAATTTAGTCATTATATTTAGGTAAGACATCCCTAAATAACACATGCTTAGATAATACACATTAAAACGCAGGCATATAAAACCGACAAAATAGGAAAAAAAACTCCACAAAATTTAGAAAAATTTGAAAAAAAAGTGGTGCTGAAAAACATTTAAAAATGGTATTGCACTGAAATGGAGTAGGCCTAAATTTAAAAGCATTAGTCAGAGCCACCATGCAGTGCAAAAGGAGATAGAATGAATACCGGGGATGAATGAGGGGCCTGGGGATCAAGAGTGAAATTAATAACAATATTGATAATAGACCCTTTTATTTAACAGACAAGCGAGATACGGTAATGGGCTATTGAAAAAAAACGAGCGGTTTTGCATTTATACTCCTGGTATTCATTCTACCTCCTAAGTGCAAAAAAAAAAAAGCTAGAAAGTTAAGAAAATAGGGACGTCCTGAGTTTTTTGTGTTTTTGATATCGGAAATCGGGACGATCCCAATTAAATCGGGATGGTTGCCAGGTCTGTTAGCGGTGTGCAATGTATTGAGATTTTGTTTACTCAGGCAGTTGTTACGGTTTACCGTAAAGTATTTTGATAGCATGCATAATACCTCAAAGAATTGCTCAAATTTGCATAAAATCTGTACGGAATTCAGGCCTTATTTTTTTTATACTTATGGGTTATGAAAAATGTGTAGAGAATACCTTCCCCCAAGTAATAATGGAATGTTCCACTCGAAATAAAAAATACAACAATAAATGTTACAATTATAAAAAGCCATACCAACTAAAAATAGGCAGGACTTTTTGAATAATAATAAGATAATTAAATACTCACCATTCTATCTAGTGCTTCTATAGATTTGTGAATTGACTTGTAAGAATCGTCATAAAATTTATAATCAAAACGATGACCTGCAAAATATACAGTAACATTAACATTCTTTTAATTAAACCCAATCATATATTTTTTTAGACATGTGGAACATGATCCCATAATTAAGGAGTAAATGCAAGTACACAGGTTTTTTGAATTATTTGATTATTTTTTTAAAATTATTTGGTACGATCTAAATAAATTTATGCTATCAACTAAAATATTAATTATTAATTAACTTACAGTATTTGAATTAAATATATTTTAAACATTGCAATAATATACTACTTTTTAATAAAATTTTAATCTTATTGCTTTGAAATGAAAAATTAATACAATACAAACCACCTAGGTCTTGACTGGCTTTACTCCTTGACTATTTTCTCATTAACAACTTAGATATTGTGAGTATTTTTGCACAGATAGCAAATTAAAATTTAAAGTTTTAATACATTCTGTCTAATTACATTTCTTCAATAAATTATTGATTGCTACAGAATTATTATTGATTGCTACAGAATTTGTTTCTGTAGTTAAAATATGTTTTTCATACCCCAATGGCAGAAGTCGGACGAAACAATAAAAAGATTCTGGGGGTCTTCAAGGTACTGGCTGAACAGGCGTCCATACCGTTGCTCATTCTTCCAGTCCAAGGAACCTACTAACACAGGTACAATTGTGAACATATCCCGTTTCCTGCAAAAGAAAATAAATATATGCGAGATAAATAATACAATATGGTAAAAAAAAATAGGTTTATGTTGTCCAAGCTCAACTTATTCAAAATCTTAACATCTAGTACCATCAGTTTTTGGCAATTTCAGTACAGAAATAAATTGCAGGGTCACTGCTAATTGGGGATATGATTCAACACACGCCACTAAGCGCAAGCTCAGTGGCCTAGTAGTTATACTAGGCTAGTTATATGGCGGTCGTGGGTTCTATTCCTACCCTAACTACTTGAGATTTTTTCGCATTTACAACGTACTGTGCAATTAGTACGACAACACATCAAGCAGGGCAACACATCATTCACAAGAAATCTCCGAATGCAAACACCATTGTATTAAGTTTCTAACCAAGGAATATTCAATGAACAACCAAATTTATGTCTTCTTCCCCTATAAACCTAAGTTTGTTTGCAAGTACTGAATAGAAAGAAAGATTTAGCTTTCCTCTTTACCTTTCCATAACCTTGGCAATATATGGTAGGTGCATCTCTATGCTATGTTCCGCTTCATCGGTTCGTATGTGCATCCAATCAAAACCGCCGGTTGCATGCAGTATATCATTCACTATGAAACAAATTAACAGTAAAGCCCTAAAGACTATCAAATTTTATTTGATAAAAAAGTGTGACATGCCTATATATGGTCATGATGACATCACATCCTGACCATATATAGGCACATCATGACTTTATATGGGCATACAACAGTTTCTTGGAAATTTGATAATTTGGACAGAGCTTAACATAATTAGAAATTAACTTGATTTATTCCATTAATCTTTGCTGCTATTGTATACAAATTTCATTTGACAAAAGCATGTGACATTGTCTAAATATGGTCCTCATGACATCACATCGCGTTTGACAAATTTTAAATAAAGTATCAATGAGAATGAATGAATAAATTAAAACATATAATAAAATAATAAATAATTATCAGGTTTTTTATATGTTTACTATTTATGAATGTTTAATTGTCCAGTGCCTTTTTTGGTACTTTCTATTTATTTTTTTGCCTGTTTAATGCAATTTAGTTCTTAGTACAATGTTATATTTGGCAAGGCTTACCTAAACCTTTGTATTGTTTTTATTTGCATGTTTGACAAATTTTAAATAAAGTATCCATGAGAATGAATGAATAAATTAAATCACATCATAACCATATATAGGCACATAATAACTATATATGGGCATACAACAGTGTTGCATGCAAAGCCTGAACATATATTCCGTACAACAACAGTCTCTTAAATATGATAGGAGATTCGTCACTTACTTTCTTTGTCGACTTTTAGATTGTATAAAGGTGTTTGGTAATAACTAGTTTGTGTGAGAGCACATCCACGTAGAGCATAATGATGCGAAGGACCAAGAATAAACACACGTTTACTGAAATATATAGAAAATATCAATATAATCATTAATTGACTCATCAATCAATCTAGTAAAGGATAGCACACACTGCGTCGGTACTGACAAATCAGAGTGCCACGAATGGTCAGCAAACTGGAATAGTTAGGGAAGTGCCTACATGGTGCACGAAAATATTTCTCGCTGTACAGTCAGCCACCGTTGTGTGCAAGGTTTAAGAGAACAAGCACTTAAACTATTAAACACATTAACTGTCATGCCTCCAATTATCCAAGTGTAGTATTCAAACAATCAATTTACATTAAATGCATTATGTGTAATGTTACACATGCCGGGGTAAAGGTACCATTCTATTTCTATCTGTATGAGTACTGTAGCTAAAATAGATTCCTCCCGGTAGCCATACAGGTTCAGACTACACACATTTGAAGTAGTTGGAACAGGTAAACCAAGCGGTGAGGCTTAGCGGCCCGGTCCACTGGAATCCCAAGGCTTTACTCTACAATGGAGCTAAATTCATCACACACTCACTGATGTGTGGAGAATACACATGTGGGAACTGCACTTACATATGTGTTGGATCTACTTGCTTGTAAGCGTGTGCACCACAGGCACCACAGTACGTAAACCCTGCATGTCTGAAACAAAAAAAAATTAAAAAGTATAAAAATATGTGTCAAATAATTGTATTATATCTGTATTTAAAATAGTTGTGTACCCATACTATACTGAACGATTACCTGAAGATTGAACCTGTTTAGATTATTTGTTACAAGTAAATTTTGTGAGTGTGTTTTGTCAATATTATTACAATCTTTTATATTTCTGCTTGAAACAAATAATTATATAATCACAAATATAAACAATAATAAACAATACATAAATCCTAATCATACTTATAAATCAGATTTCCACCATTTTCAGGTATGTTTGAAATGTTAATAATACAAAAAAAAAAACACCCACCAAAGTGATTGTACAGGTAAATATGACAAAATCAATTAAATTCTTGTAAAAAGTGAATTACAAAAATAAGGTGCATCCTACAATTGACTGTACTGAATTTCATTTCAGGCTCTGTTTCTTGTACAGGCTATCAGGTAACACTTAGATCTATTAACAAAGTTGAAGCAAGATTAATAAGGAATGGACAAGAAATTCCTTAAACCGAACACATTTACACCCACACATTATACATACAGCCAGCTCTCTAGGAAGGCCCCTATCTTGGCAGCTGCATGCTAGACACCTGGATGCCTGTGGCAGTGAACATGTGAATACTGCACCACCTAGAGCCTTTAGGGGCCTACACTGTGGTTGACGATTGAAATAAAAAATATCTAGGAATTTATAAGTGATTTTTACTTACAGTAGGGATGCAAGGTGCTAAGAAAGTGAAATAAGAGAAAGGAGAAATGCAAAATATGGCATGATGATTTAGCCAGTAGTGAAAAGATGAGCTTTAAGGAGCTTTCTCAGTATTAGAAAATAGTGACATGAGGGAAGAGGAATTTACGTAGAGAAACAGCATTAAAACCTGATCATTTATGGGAACGATGATCTAAATCAGGCAAAAACCAAGGAGTGGAGAGAACAAGAAGAAGCTTTATTAGACATGAGAGAAGTGGTTTGGTATCCTGTACCACTGGATAATAGTGGATAGTTACAGTTAGCTGTATTAATTGCTCCCTACCCACATATTTAGATAAGCACCTAAAGAGATATAAATGGGAAATACATTACTATTATACTACAAAATACAGTTCCAGTAGAATAGACCATTATAAACTGTTCCCTGATTTGACTTAAGTTACATAATAAATAACCTTTAACTTTTGGTTTATAAAATTGACCGTACTAGATTACTCAATATGAAAAAAGGCCAAAGAGCACCTGTGTATTTTCGCCACCAAAACGGCTGCATTATCACGCCAAAAAAAAGTCATCGCACCAAGACAAAACAAAAATATATACTACTTATAGCAGTATCATTGCATGATATCTAATTTCAAATGAAATCTTTTAATGGACTCAACACCTTGAAGACTCATCTAAATTTAAATATATGCTATAATTTTACAATTAGAACTTTATGATTGAGTATTTAAGTGGCAATTTGAGTGATGAATTGGTGTTAATCTTGAATTTAAGGATCAAACTATAATTATAAAACTCTACAGTAAAGTAAAAGCCTTCCTCTTCATGGAAGAAAACCATAAATTATAATTAGATAAATGAGCATATTGTTGATCATGACCCTTATGAGAGTTCCTGTGAATATTTTCAACAGATGGAATATATGAATAAACCATAAATATAATGCAGGTATGTTGAATTGCTACTAAAATTACATCTTACACCCTTTATAGCCTAACTATTGATTACCATTATCATAACATCCATCCTGACTGAATGACAGTCATGTTAACATCAATCAGAGAAGAGCTACACATCAACACAGATGAATATATCATTAGCATAATGTATGCTGTCTGTAAGATACTTGTAGACACACTACGAGTCACTTAACTATAATAATTTGTAATGATAATCGAAAGTAATATTTATTGAAGAATGAATAAGAAATTCAATGAAGTAGACAATCAAGTTTACTAAATTTATTTATAAACAAATGAAATTTTAACTCAGAGAAGAATTTGTTCCTTTGTTCCAATAGTGGAGTAAACCTGTGGTGGCACCAGTGGGTGGGAGGGCATTTGCTGACCGAGGTGCAAACGATCCCTTGGTTTAGACCCCCATTCGGACATGTTGGACCCCCTATCAGCAAATTTCTGGAGCACCAATGGAGTAGAGGTCGGTTTAGTAGCTTAATGGTCAATGGAAAAAATTTTTACAAAGCACTAAATCAATTGACTAACTGATCGACTGACTGATTGAATGAATGATTAATCGAAACTGATAAATTGATTGCCTGATTGATCATGATTGAATGACTGATTGAGTGCTTATATTGATTGATTGATTGACTGACTGCCTGACTGACTAACTAACTCACTGATTGATTGATCATCTAACTGATTGAATGACTGCCTAACTGATTGATTGTCTGATTGACATACTGACTAATTGATCATCTAACTGACTGACTGCTTAACTGATTGATTGCTCAACTGATTAATTGCTTTTAATTGACTGATTACCTAAATGATTGACTAATTTACTAATACTGACTGACTCACTGATTCTGGTTGATTGATTGAATTGATGTAAAAGAATTGTTATGTTTTTACAGTAAAATATTTAGCTACAGCATAATCGTAAATGTGACATGATTATTGATGTTAATTACATGATTACTGATGACATCACTAAAGCCCAAATAGCATGCAAAATGCTTTGCATAATTGCTTACTGTACAAGACAATATATCTGGGAATATTGTATTACATTTAAGAGATGTTTATGTGAGAAGATGCTATTTGTTGGTTTTCGAGAGAATTGTACACCAGGGGAAGATGGCTAAAGTTTATAGAAAATCTTAATACAGTAATTAACTACAGACCAAAATTGCTGGCTGACTGGCTATATATTTTTAGACTGCATGTAGGAGTTATATTATTTCTTCATATAATTAAGGCTGCCTTCTTGGTTAGAACAAATCAAAAGGAAATTATTAAACTTCCATTTCTAACATAGGCTTAGCCAGCGAGCCGTCCGTTTTGGTCTATGAATGAGAATAAAATATGTTGGTATTTATAAAAGCACTCTACACACTTACTTGGCAGAAAACCATACTAAATGGAGATTAAAGCAATTTAATAACAGAGCAACATATATATTGATAAAACAGAGCAGAATGTCAAAAATTGATTATGATATATCCCTGTGATTCAGGAAACTATAAACTATTATAAAAATTTCTTTTTCTTCTCTTTCCATTCTTTAAACTTATTGGAAAGTATAGAGCAGAAAGGAATATCAGTCCTTAATTGTCATTGTAATATCAACAAACATTACACTTCATTGCCTTGGACCTTGGCTGTTGGTGTACTAGTGTGATAGATGCTGGTTGCTGACAATAAATCATAAAATTAAAATTAAATTAAAGGGACAGTAGTTAATCTTTACAGAGGCTTGCTGACTATTTCTGTAAAACTAAGAGACGCCCAGGAACCTTATGTATCAGGAAAACCTACAGTACTGAGACAAGCAGTTTAGTTTAACCAGGTTAGTTTTACCGAGATGAAAAGTCCAATGTGAACATGCGTCTCAATTAGACTTCTTGAGTCAATCGAATGTTACTCAATGCATTTGTCACATATTAGTGCATCAATAGTTGATTTTCATGGCTCAGTTAGTTTTACCATTTCTCGCAGTAAAACTAACCGACTCAAAAAATACAAGTGCGGACAGCGGTAAGATTTACCCATTGGCCTCTATAAATTTATGTCCAGTGCGATTGCAGATTTTGACTTACGGTGCAATAATAGCCCTGGCAGGTGCATGGTGGCTGTCAGCGTTATTTAACCAGTCCTCCAATTCTGATGATAAAGCACGACCTGCAACAAAATATAAAAATATACATATCCATGTTGAAAAATGCACTCCCGAACCTCTACCTATGTGGCTCGAAAAGAAAAAACACATTTGCCCTGCCACAGAAAAATAGGTGCTCGGAGGTGGCAATCGGCACAGTGGTCTCCTAGAGATAGACGCAGGCATGACAAGCAATAGAAAAAAGGGAGAGGGGGCTGTTTGTTGACAAATTAATCGAATAAGAAAGGAAAAGAAATGACTCAAGTTTGACTTGAACTATTGAGCATTTATTGTTATCATTATTGGGCCTTTGTAACAAAAAATTTAATTTTATCTATTAAAAATAAAGAGAACAAAAAAGTATGCCCTCCAATAGACAAAAAATAAAGAAACTTTGTCTGCAGAACTCTACTATGCTATTGTCAACTACATTACAATTCACAAAAAAAATTCATATCTCTAAACTGTTGACAAATATATATATATATATTTTTTTTAAATGTAAGAATTGCATAGCATTTTAATTAATTGCAACCACGTTAATAAGGAATCTCAATTATCTAAAACATTTTCAAAGATTCCATATGGGTTTTAATTCAATCAGATACAGTATGCGACATGGCTAAATATAGTATGGTCATCATGACATCACATCATGACCACATATAGGCGCCTCATGACTATATACTTTTTGTCAAATTAAAATTGATAATCTGGACATGGAGCTTTTAAAATCTCTGTAACAGACTATCAAATTTTATTTGACAAAAACATGTGAAATGACTAAATATGGACATGATGACATCACATCATGGCCATTGGTGGGTTGGTGGCGCCAGTGTGGTGGCTCTTGGATAGATTTGGGAAGAGGGAGTGAGCCTGCTCCAAACAAGATCTGACAATATTCGGGCAGAGGACAACTAGCAGGAGGGGTCAGCCCTGATGGACACTAGATTAACACTGGGCAAATGGGGGCCATTTTAAGCTGTTCTCGGAAGTTTTAAAATATGCAATTTGTAAAAAATATATTTTTTTTTTCGTGTTCGGCTCCAATGAGTTTTGGTCGATGGGGGACGGCCTGAGCAAACAGGGCCTTTAAATTCCTTCCTTCATAAAGACAAATGCTTTTAATGTTTTTTTATTTGGAATTTGATATATTTACTTGACTGTAAAACAAATGATATATTAACATGAAATAAATAACGCATACGCAGTCTTACTTTAATAAACTAGCAATATTGGCCAAGTAAATTTATCGATTCTGGTTAAATGTATGTGTGAGTTTCAGCACTCAAAATTTGTGTCGCCCAAAGCCGCTGTGCCCAAGCTTACCACGGCACTTATTTGCTGAGGTTAAATTAATGAATGAACTGTACCATGGCATGAATCCACGGTGTACGAAAATCAAATCTTCCCCAAACGTTTAAGTGTTTATAGTCATGTTAAATTACATGAATTTGACCAAACAAATTTTTGTAATCAACAACACACGATCGAATATTAAACGGCAAATCACTGTACATGGAGAATCAACAAATTGGATGAATGAATTTTTTTGAACAGTTTACGACAGGGAGGTTTGACGTTTGTAAATAAGTATGCTATTATAATTTTACAGTTCTTATTAAACGTAATTAAATTTGCTACAGCAGTATGTATTGTAATCATTAAATAGATTATTGAATCATAGTGATTGAATCATAATCATAGTCATTAGCTAGAAATAAGTCTATTTGCATTCTTTTCACTGTTTGTTTTATGCTCTCTGCATCCATACTTCAGAATCATAGACACATACAGCATATTTCTTTCAAATTATCTGCCAATGTTGTTTTTGTAGCAACAACATGGAAAAATGTGTTTGAATAATACATTAAAAAAATATTTGTTTTGTCTACTTTTTATGATTAAATCTTACAGAAAATACACGCATATTTCAATATTTGTTGTTTACTTCTTGCTTCATAGCATACTACATAGAGTTTGGATGGGGTGCTCTCCAAAACGTGGTCTTTTTCCTCGATGTCCTTATTATAGGCCTTATTATACGCAAATTATAGTCTAGTTGCTGTTCCAATAAATTGTAAATTTCATCATGAAAATTAAAACATCCCACGAATTTTACTTGGTTTATAGTCTAGTTGCTGTTCCAATAAATTGTAAATTTCATCATGAAAATTAAAACGTCCCACGAATTTTACTTGGTTTAGGCTAGGTTAGGCCTAAAAAAGTTCATGACCCCGCTCAAACATTCCACCACGACTGATTCGGCCAATTTCATTCAGAAGGAAATTAACATCTGAGGCTGATGATTTTTTCTACTTCTTTCTAATCCTTCACATATTGAATGCAAATTTTTACACAAGCATGTCGAACATTAATAAATTTGCATTCTTAATTTTTGAAAAATGCTGATCATGTAAAATGTGAAAATTAAAGAATAAACTAGGCCT